ATATTAAAAATTTGAACGAACAGTGTTGCATGATATAAAGAAAAAAGGGAAACTCCCGGTACGTGGCAGCACGTTTAAAATCTAGAAATGTCGGACGTAGTTTTATAATCTCCCATAAGAGCCCATGTTAAATGAAATAAGATTCCGTTCTGTTTGTTCTGTGTCAATACACTCTCAAACAGTCGATTGGGTCTTATCTAAGTTTGACAATAATGTACAATACATTGTTGCCGGTGACTATAATTTACCGAAAACTGTAATTACCACTGATAATACCGGACTCATTACTAACAGCATACAGTACAGTATATGTACACCCCAGGCCAATGAAATATTTGATATCTATGCTTATAATAATTTTTTTCAAGTTAACACGCATTCAAATTTTAAGGGCTCAATGCTTGATCTCGTATTTACTTCTTCAAATTCAACAACAATTAATATTTGTGATGAATTATTAGTTCCGTTAGATAAATACCACCCAGCACTTTCCATACATAGTAACTATGATGTTACTCGCGATTTTAACCATTTTGTTAATTCGAACTGGTATTATGATTTCAAGATAGCCGATTATACTTCAATATGCTGGTCATTAGGACTTATGAATTGGCACAACCTATTCGAAAATAAAAATATTAATGAAATAGTAAACATATTTTATGATAAAATTTATAATTTAATTTCCAAATACGTACCAAAAAAGTACCCTAAAAAGTATAATTACCCACAATGGTTTAATAAAGATCTTAAAATGTATATTCATGAGAAAAAAGAATTCCATAATATATATAAATCAACTAAATATCAATCGGATTATGATAATTTTTCACAATGCCGGAAAATATGTAAGAATTTATCTAAATCTTGTTATTCTAATTATTTAACCAAAACTCAAAATTCGTTAATTAATAATCCTAGATACTTCTGGAAATATATCAAAAACAAACAAGTGTCAAAACCTATACTAAACTCAATTACTTATAATAACCTCCACTCTGACAATATAAACGATATTCTTAATATCTTTAGCTCATATTTTGCTTCTGTATATTTAAAACATACACAATCAACACTTATTAATTTTGGTGATAGTAGTAATAGTAATAATTGTAATTTAAATGTATCTAATGTAGATTTATCGTTGAGTGAAATATTTCAAGCTCTTACTCAAGTTGGTAATAACCCTTCTCCTGGTCCTGACTTAATTCCTGCTCTATTTTTACAACGTTGTAGATATGCCTTATAAGTTCCTATATTTATTATCTTTCATAGGTCTTTCATGTCTATATCATCAGGTATCTCCCCCGACAAGTGGAAATTAAGCTATGTAACACCAATTTTCAAATCTGGTGATGAAGGATCCGTCACAAATTATCGGCCAATCTCAATAATAAGTGTAATTCCAAAACTATTCGAGAAAATTATAAATAATAAACTAACAACCACTTTTAAGCTAACTCTAATATCTAATCAATACGGCTTCCGGTTACAACGATCAACTAGTACTAATTTATTAGTTTTTTATTCTGATTTAATATCCACAGTAAAGAGTGATGGACAAGTAGATGCTATCTATTCAGATCTTAAAAAAGCTTTTGATACTGTAGATCAGCGTTTCCCAAAGTGTGTTCCGCGAAACCCTAGGGTTCCGCCGGACTATCTCAAGGGTTCCGTCAGATGTATGTGTTGTTGAGAAAATTATTTTATGTTATATTTAGATTATTTATATAAAAAATATTGTTTTATATTATTTAAAAAAAGTTCACCTAAAATCTAAATAATTATTATTCTAGTATAATATCGTTATTAAATATTTGGTGTATGTATTTGAAATTGAACAGAATAAAATTTTAACACTCATGTACCTATAGACATTGTCATTACGTTAACGATGGAGATTTGTAGAATTAAGATAAGCGTGTCAACGCGATTGCCAGTAGTTAATTGTGCGATAACTTATAAAAATAACTTATGTGCACGCGTTCGCGTTCGATACGATTGATACATTATATCCGTAATCGTAATGAGTTAAAATTAAGAGATTATGATTCAGTTGGCATATAGTTGTCATACGACTTACTTCGTGTACGTTGTTACTGCGTTATTAATTATTATAAATACAACATAACTACAAATAAAAAGTTTGCCATGCATAATTGGCTTAGAACAGGACGGTTGTTGCCCAAAACAACAAGTAATAATATTGATGAGACTGTGGCGTCTTCATCAACAATTGAATCTCAACAAGTTACATTGAAAGATGCTATTATCCCTAGTTGTTCGGTAAGAAATTTGAATAAAATTAGTTAATTTTCAGTCGTTTCCAGTCTTGTTATTATAATTATATAATATAATAATTTATTGTTATTATTATTATTTAATTTATTTTAGATTACTAATGTCATTGAAAATAATTCTCATAGTAATATTTCGGAAAAAAGTATAGTTGTACCTGAAATTATTGAGCTAAAACCTTCAAAAAAGAGAAAATACGATGAGTCCTACCTTCAATTTGAATTTATTCCTGTTGGCACTGTAGAAAGGCTTGATGGACAATGTGTTATTTGTAATGTAATTCTTCAGAACAGTTCTTTGGCACCTGCAAAACTTAAACGACACCTCGAAACCCACCATCCAAATTTGATGAACAAGGAAATGGGCTATTTTAAAAAACGTAAAGAAGAACATAATAGCAGCTTGTCTGCCTCACATAAATACGCGAAAAACGACACTGGAAATGCAACAGAAGCATAATTTATTTTGAGTTACAGCATTGCTCGTGCTGGTAAACCACATACAATTGCTGAGTCTCTAATTAAACCATGTATGACTGAAATAGTTCGCTGCATGATTGGAGAAGAGACTGCTAAGAAAATTGCAACTGTTCAATGCTCCAACAACACTATATCTGATCGGATACATAAAATATCGGACCATATTGAAGATCAACTAATAAACAGGTTGAAAAGTTGTAACATGTTTGCTATTCAACTTGACGAAAGTACTGACGTTGCTGGACTTTCAATACTGCTTGTTTTCGTGAGGTATATTTTTGAAACATCTATCGAAGAAGATTTATTGCTTTGTACTCCTTTGGACACAAATACCACAGGTAAAGAAATTTTTAAAGTCATCGATAGTTATATGAATAAACATCAGGTTGATTGGGTTAAATGTATCGATGTATGTAGTGAAGGAGCTGCAGCTATGGTTGGAAAAATTAAAGGAACCGTGACGAATAAAAAATGTCACAGTAGTCATTGCGTTTTACATCGCCACGCTCTTGTTAGTAAGAAAATGCCATTGGAGTTAAAACAAATTCTTAATGAGGCTATATGTATTGTAAACTATATTAAGAGTCGTCCACTCCAGTCTAGACTTTTTAAAAAAGTATGTGAAGAAATGGGTAGTCAGCATTATTCACTTCTTTTTCACACTGAAGTCAGATGGCTTTCAAGAGGAAAGGTTCTAAGTAGGTTGTTTGAACTGCGCGATGATTTAAAGATTTTTTTTCGGGACAAAATCTATCTATATCTAAGAGTTATTTCGAGTTATTACATGATGACCAATGGCTTATAAAATTAGCTTATCTCGCAGACATATTCAGTAAACTGAATGAAGTTAACAAGTCTTTGCAAGGAAAAACAATAACAACATTCGTGGTCAGAGACAAAAATATAGCATTTAGAAACAAACTTAACTTTTGGATTGCATGTGTAAATGAGAATAATTTTGAATGCTTTCCTCTCTTGATGGATTTTTTAAAGGAAAACGAATTGCAACTAACAACTAATATTAAAAAAATTGTTATCGAACATTTGGAAAACCTCGAAAAATCATTGTCTCAATATTTTCCTGCTACTAATAATGACGTTGATTGGATACAAAATCCTTTTGTGAACCAAAAAAAACCTGCAATGTTATCCATGCTCGAATATGAGCAGTTAATTGAAATTAAAAGCATGTCATATTTAAAACAGAAATTTGAATCTGGATCTTTAAACGAATTTTGGATTGAACTTAAGGACGAGTACCCATCTCTAGTTGAAAAAGCTATTTTTACTCTACTACCATTTGTAACAACCTACCGTTGTGAGACTAGTTTTTCCTCTTATGCGTATACAAAAAATAAATACAGAAATAGATTGAATGCCGCTCCAGACCTACGAATTCAAGTTTCAGATATAAAACCAAATTTTAAAAATATTGTAAATCAAACAATGAAACAGTTCCATTCTTCCCACTAAAAATATTAATAGTATATATATTTTAAAATCTAATTAATTATAATTTTTTAAAAATAAATATTTGTGATAATTAAATAATAAAATATGTTTGTTATTTAAATAAATACAATTTTCATTGAAAATTGTTTTTTAACTAATTGTAATAAACAATAATTATTAAAATATTTTTTGTAGTACTTCTTTTTTTAGAGAAAATGGGGTTGAGTTGGAAGTAAAGACATTAGGGTTCCGCAAAACACAAACTATTTCCTAAGGGTTCCGTGATCCTAAAAGTTTGGGAACCGCTGCTGTAGATATTAAAATATAATTATATAAATTTAATCTAATGGGTGTACATGGTACATTATTAGGTTGGTTCGAGTCCTACTTATCTATAATAGACGACAACGCGTAAAAGTTAATAATATTTTGTCTGATTCTATTGAAGTTACCTCCGGTGTGCCTCAGGGAGGAAATTTATCTCCACTACTATTTTTATTATTTGTTAATGATTTAGATAAAACGTTTAAATATTCCAAATTTCTGCTGTTTGCTGATGATTTAAAATTGTATAACCCAATTAACACACCTAATAATTGTTAGAGTTACAGGATGATATAGATCGCTTTTCTGAATGGTGTTGTATGAACAAGTTAAACATAAATGTTAATAAATGCCAACAAATAACATTCTCACGTCGTACAAACCCAATACAATTTAGTTATCAGATACATAACGTATCCTTGAATGTAGTTTCTTCTGTTAATGATTTAGGTGTTTGGCTATCTAGTAACTTATCATTTAATTTACACTTAGACAAAATGTATAAAAAAGCATTAAAAGTGTTAGTGACCTAAAAAAAAAAATGAATTCCTAGGGCTACGGCGTTGTTGAGCTCAGATTGGCCACACTGTGCCCTGGGCCCATACTTCGGCCGGTACGACCGCAACGGCGGCACCACCGACCAGTTCGCTTTTCTCCAACTAGAGTGACCGGTAACACCGTTTTGTTCCCGCGTTCCCGACGACCGTCGCGACCATAAGTCTGATACCTACTTTATATATATTTATTCCGTTCGATGTTAAACCATAATACGATACTTAAGCGCATTATAATATATCAATTCTGTTAGTAATTATTCCGTATTAAGTAAACGCTGAATCGCAATATCACGTGTTAACTATTTATCGCAGGTTACCTGACCCGAGCAATATTTTGTTGTTTGCTAACAAAAGTATTAGGTTTTATTAGACGCAATACTTGGGAATTCAAGAATCCCACCTGTATTAAAGTACTATATTGTTCATTAGTACGTTCCATTCTAGAATACTGTTCTGTTGTAAGGAACCCTTTTACTGTTAATTGGGTAAATAATCTTGAAAGTATCCAAAATCGCTCTCTTAAATTTTTAGCTCCTAAATTAAGATTACCAATTAATAATATTTCCAACGTTGCTAAACAATGTGGCCTAGATCCTTTATCTAAACATAGATTATTTAATGATGTTCATTATATATATAAACTTATTAATAACCAAATTGATTGTCCCGATCTATTAAGTAAGATTAAATTTAAGGTACCTACATTCAACTCTCGAAATCACTCTTTATTTCATATCGACTGACACCGCCAGAATTACAGTTACTATAGCCTTTTAAATCGTATGTGTATGTTCTGTAATAAATTTACAAATTTTGATTTTTTTCATGATCCACCAGGTTTACTATATTCTTTATCAACTATGTAATGTAATTTATTGTACATGTTATATACTGTAATCTTTGCTCAACTTGGGCGTAATTAATTAATTAATAAATAAATACGATCGTAGATCGACAACATTCGCAAAGGATATATCGGTACCTACACAGTAATAACGTGTTGGCCGCCCACGGCGCGGCGTCGGTTGTGCGAGTGCAACGGCGATTACGGGTTGTCGATTATGATCGGCGGGGGTGAGGTAACGCCCGATCCGAAGATAAACAACAAACTGCTATCGCACGTTTATAAATATATAATATATTTATAAATCATCAATTGAATAACCCAGTATCAATAAACCGACACTGAGTGTTAGGTCAAATATTTAGTTAACATGGAACGCAATGGCGGATCCGGAGGGTGGCGAAGGGGGCACGCGCCACCCCCTCGGCTTTTATTTAGTTCAAAAATGACAAAAATGACATTTTAAATACCTACTATTTAAAAATTATAAAATGTTTTTATGAAATGATTGTGTGTAAGACGTATTGTATAATAATAAGACGTATTTTTATATCCCGAATCGCCGGATGGCGGTTCTAGGTTATTTCTACATGTTTACGTATGTTATTATTAATATTATTTTGATCAGTATTTAAATTAAATCTAAAAATAAATATTCCATTCAGATTATTTTCGGGCAACGACGTGCGGCACAGTCGCCGTTATCGTAATAATTGAAATAAATATATATAATATTTCACTATTCATCAGATTACAATTTAAATTATACAAAAATATCTGATTTTTTTGTATTGTGTACAAGTGTACAAAAAATAGTTTCAGTATTGAACTAGCTGTTCTATGTTGTGGTTTTATTTCTTAATGGTTAAATTAACGGTATAATAATATATTATATAATCTTAACGGTATATTTCCTATAATGGACAAATTTGTTATAAAAAAAAAAATAAAGTTGCATGATACCCATGAAAGTGTCACATCAACAGAAGAAGTAGATACATTAACTCCGGAGTTCGTCATTCAATAGCTCATTGACTTCTGCTTCGACTAGCTCAATAGAATCGCAACGTATTATTAATGATAATAATGATACTACTACTTCATCGGAAAATTATGATATTGGTAACTATATAGACCACATTTATTCTATTAATGATTTTACTAAATTTATGATTCTTAAAAATCACTGGGTCCCTCCGACAAATTATATATTTCCTTTTTCTGTACATAACAAACGCAATAGAGAAGAAAAGCGACGTCCTAATCATCAACATTTATCAAATTATTCTTGGTTAGTTTATTCCGATGTGAAAAAAGGACTTTTTTGCAAAAGTTGCGCCATTTTTACTAATGATATTCTAGTAGGTGATCAAAAAACAATATCTGTAAAAAAATTGGTGACAGAACCCCTTATAAAATTTGCTAATTTATTAGGAAAACATGGAGACTTAGACTGCCATTCTCAAACTCAGTATCATAAGTTGGCAATAGTTAAAAGTGAATCATTTATTCAAGTATATAAAAATCCATCTTATGATATTCGGAATCGGGTTGAAACTTCACGTAAACGAAAATAGAGAAAGACTTGTTCCAATAATAAAAACTTTAATTTTACATGGACTACAGAAGGAAATGTCAGTTCATTATTAAGATTCCGAATAGATAATGGGGATAAAGTTTTGGAAAATCATTTAATGACAGCTAAAAATAATGCTACTCATATTAGTAAAACATCAACAAATGAGTTAATAAATCATTGTGGTAATGAAGTTCTTTCTCTTTTATTAAATAGAATACATAAGGCAAAATATTACTGTGTTTTATTTGATGAAACTACAGATGTATCTCACATATTTCAACTTAGCATATTAATTAGATATATTTATGAAAATATGGTCAGAGAAGATTTTATTGGTTTTGTTGATCTTCATAAGGACAATTATAGTGCAGATGCTCTTGATTTTGATACAGATAATGAAAGTAACACATTGGGTTTACAACAGTCAGAACCAACTATTACAGGAGAAATACTTGGTTCAACAGTTGTAAAAAAATTGAAAAGTGTGAGATTAGATTTATTATCATGTGTAGGAATCGGTTGTGCTGGTTGCAGTGTTAATATGTCGACAATATGTGGAGCAGCAATTACTATACAAAAATCTGCCAAGAATGCTATGATATGTCCATGTTTAAATCATTATTTGAATAATAATTTATCTAGATCAAATAAGATTCAAAGTGTAAGAAACTATTGGAACTATACAAGAAATAATAAAGTTTTTCAATGTTTCAACTAAAAGAAATTTTATTTTAAAAAAATATTTAGGTTATCAGCTGACTATTCACTGCGTAACTCGTTGGATTGAGAGGCATGCTTCTGTATTAGAATTTATAAATGACCTTCCATTTATATTGAAAAGTTGAACTGAAATTTCTACATGGCATGATATATCTACTTCATCAAAAGCCAATTTATTGTGTAAAACTATACAAGATAGTGAATTTGTTATGTGTATTTTCTCTTTAAATGACATAATGTGTCTAACACGATCCTTAAGTATACTACTCCAAACTAAAAATTTAGACCTTTTTTCTGCTACTACTAAAATAAAAGAACTTAGAGAAATACTAGGTACAAAACGAAATGATGCAAATCAGTACTTTAATATTATATATAATAATGTTGTTGAAATGATGTCAAAATTAGGCACTGAACTAAAATTTCCAAGGACTCCTAACGAATATTTAGTTAAATCGTCTTGCATGGTCAAAATATAAGACAGTCAAGATTACTGGAGAATATAAATTTATATTCCTATTTTAGATGAAGTAATAAAAGATTTTGATAATAGGTTTTCTAGTGATAATATGCAATGCTTTAATCTTAATTTTTTGATGCCATCGAATCTCATGAAATTTTTCAAAAACACTGAACAACTAAATGAATCAATTAAAGACATTTCTAATCAATATAGTGAATTATTTGGTGAATCTACATTTTCTATTGAACAAAAGCTAAAAGGAGAATTAAATCTATTGGAAAATAAATTAAAATCGGATACTGACCTCACAACTATAACATCAGCTATCACATTTCTAGACAAGCTTGATTGTGACTATTTTCCAGTATTTTCTTTATTTATTAAAATTCTAATCCCTCTCCCAATATCTATTGCTACAGCAGAAAGAAGCTTTTCTTCTCTACGTTTACTGAAAACCTGGTTAAGATCTAGAATGAGGGAAGAAAGGTAAACTGGTCTAGCTTTGTTATATATTCACAAAAATATTAATATTCATAATAATATTGAGAATATCATTAATAGATTTGCTAATGATAAAAATAGAAAATTGGATTTTATTTCGTAATTTTACTAATTGTACAATGATTATTTTATAATTAAGCACATATATATGAAGTTATAATAACAGTAACAACTATTTTATTTTCTGTTTTGTTTTAATAATTATATAATTTAAAATAAAGATTTGTACCTACTTTAATTAAACTGTGATTAATTTTATTTGAATGTAAGTTAGTTCAAAATGATAAATTTGTAACACATTTATATATAATAGTAAGAATGTAGTACCTATTTAAAGTACATCAATACTTAAACTAATTATTATTACTTAAGTAAAGTATTTATTTTATCATAAATAGTAATTAGCATTCATTATTTTTATATACCCACGTATTTATCTATACCAATCTTCATTACATTTTTAGATATAAATAAAATTATAAACATCTTTGGGAAAATACTTTTAATTTTACATAAATATAATTTTAACTTACATAGAAAGTGTGACGAAAAATCGGAAGACCAATGTAATTGATCCACATAAATGTCGACAAAATGTGCGCCCTCCCTCAGAAAATTCCTGGATCCGCCCCTGATGGAACGTATATTCTAGGTTTTTAAAACATATAATTTATATAATTATAAATTATATAAAATTATAATATTATTTATTAATATAAATAATAATATACGTTGCAATAGATTGATTTTATGTTCACATCTTAGTACATTTTTCAGGATAAAATTACGTTTATTCTACATTGATCGTACGTCGATTATTGGTTGATCGAACTTACGTCAAAATATTGGTTAGGATTTACGTAAATTGTACGTCTAGTTGAGATCGGTCAGTCCAAATTTTTGATACTACAGTAGTCACCCGATAATTCAAAATTCAGGGGACTGAGTTAAAAATTCGATTTACTGAGTGTTCAAATAATCCACGATCACTTTTTTTTTTGTCGGCTATCGACAAACACTTGTACTTCACGGGACCCATATTGCGACTGACTACTCAATAATAATTATATAAAGATATTATGTGCATACATATGAACTTCCATATAATCGCGTTTAAGGAAATTCGAATTATAGAGGTTCGTGAAAAAAAATCCTAATTGTAGAGTGTGTCCCACCGACAGACAATTCGATTAATAGAGATTTGTGAAAAAAAATCGAATTGTAGAGTGTGCCTCACCGACATACATTTCGATTAAACGAGGGGACCGGAATACATGTATTTTTTTTCTAATTATAGAAGTTTTCTCAGGGGACTTAGCGTTTGGTTCGATTTCTGGGGTTTTTCGAATCATCGAGGTTCGAATTATCGAATGACTACTGTATTCCCCAAAATCCTAAAACCGTTTTATTATAAGTCATTTTTAAAAATTGTTACATTTCAATTTTTAGAGAAGTTAAAATAAAAAATAAAAAATGTTGACTAACCAATCTCAAATAAACTTGACCAGACGCATCATTTCAGTTTCTTATTTGTTTATCTTTATACCAAATTATGATAAATTGCTGGTACACAACTAATTATGCCTGTCTGTTATTGGTGGGCCCAGTCCAAATATCCAATTTGTCCCTCCATAAAGATGGCACGTGCCTGTACAGGCTATAAGATTTGTAAGTCTACGGTATTTACAAAGAGTCTGACCTAGACATTTTGAATTGCCAAGATTGGCACTCGACTGTCTATGCATTCGTTCTTATAGTATAGGTAGATATTAAAACTTAAACACATGTTTCTGATATTATTAATTTTCTCTTGGTTATTAATCGGGAATAGTGGTCGGAATTTTTATCAGTAACTACATCTAACAGTATTTGAAATTTTGAAAATAATGATCAACGTGAGATAAACGTAGAATAGATTTTAATTTTATAACGAAAAATGTAGGAATGTGTGTTTACGTATCGTCAACGAAATATATACGTAAATCCATACCTATATTTCAACGTAAGTTCGACCAACCAATAATCAACGTAAGATAAACGTAGAATAAACGTAATTTTATCACGAAAAATTTACGAATATGTATTTACGTATTGTCAGTGTAAAATCTATCTTTTTCAATGTATATTCAGGGCTGGGCAAGATACCTCAAAAAAAGTATCTAAATACAAGATACAAGATACTATAATATTTTTTAAAGATACTAGATACAAGATACATGTATCTGAGATACCTATAAGATACAAGATACTTAATATATTTATTTATTTTTATTAATTTCTTAATTTACCTTGGATTATCATATATAATTTATATAGTATTAAAGCTTATATGTGTATAATAATACGGTATGCATTGATCATTAACAATACAATTTCAAATAACATTAGATACGCTTAAAATAATAATACTAATAATAGACAAAAAGATTTACAGTCTATAAAAAAAATTACGTATACAATAAGAAAACGTTATAAAAAAATATATATTTATAAATTAGCAATGTTTACTTATTATTTATTAAATGTTTAAAGTGTAGGTGATTCATATAAATATTTAATTATATTATTTATATCCCATGTTTTGAAATAAATTCTTGGTTACCTTTTAAAGAGACTAATTTTTTGAAAGTATCATCTGACATACTAGATCTACATGGAGAATGAATAAGCCCAAGAAAAGAAAATAGTCGTTCAACAGCTGCTGAAGAGGTTAGGCTTGTATTATATTTTATAAATATTTTATTTTTGGATAATTATCTAAACTACTAAGTGATTTATTTTTATCATTTAAAAAACTTATAAATTCAAGCTCGTTACTTGATTGTTGTCTGAACTGGTATGGTTCAGAAGAAAAAATAATAAAAGACTCTGACTCTGCACATGAATGGGATTCAATTTCTGAACTACTTTGTTTTGCACTACAATCAATTGCATTAATACATAAATTTTGAATTCTTTTTTTCTCTCGATCAGTTGTTATTTTTGGGAGCTAACGTAATTTAAACGTAGGGTGAAAACATGTAGCTAAGATAGCATGATTAGCTTCAGGTGTTAAATTAAAAAAAGAATCAAATCTATTAGACAAACAAATATAATATTAATGGACAAATATAAAAGACACAAAAGTTACTTTAATCAGTTTAATCTAATATATTATTATCTAACATATTATTACTTATTGGGTAATTAGGAAAATTGTTATATAAATGAAATTTGAAACATATATTTTTTGAATGTATCTAGTATCTTAATCATAAAAAAGATACTAGATACAAGTCAATAAAGTATTTAAATACCCGATACAAGATACATTCAAATTATGTATCTCGATACAAGATACAATTGTATCTAAGATACGTATCTTAAATACTAGTATCTAAGATACTGCCCAGCCCTGTGTATTATTAATGCGAGGAAATCAGTTTGTTCAAAAAATACTAGCTAAATATTGTAAAACTGAACATAGGTAATATGTGTACTTGTGAAAATATGTCATACGATACCGTTTGTTAAATTATGTATACGCCATACTTAGTAGGTAATAAAAAAAAATATTGATTTGTAAACGACTCATATGTGTTAATATTTGATTTAATATCTCGTGGGCGCATGACTTAGCGGATTAACGCGTGTAGTTTAATTTAAAATATTTTCAGGTAAGTAAGTATATGTAATTCTCCCCCCTCTTGCATTCGATAATCGGCTATGTCATGCGTTCACACTTTTTGCATTTTTTTTTTCTATAAAAATCTTAAATAAATCTGCAAGGTTTAGTATATAATATGCTTACAGAAGAAAAAAATGTTAGTTCAAATTATATCTTCTGTCGGACATATTATAACTTATTTTTTTAATTTTTTTAAAAAAACAATATTCGTCATGGCTCCAGCAATAATTGTGTCGAAATCAACTTTCGACATCCGCCCATTTGGTAAGAAGAGTGTTACAGTTACAAAGTAACAATTTATTAGTAAACAAATTTCGATTATTTTATCATTTGAATGCAAGTTAACGAAAAAGATAATTACACTAAATTTACAGCAATGGTTTACCCTTATGTCCGAATCAAACTTTGTTTCTATTACTAATAATTTAAATACCAGATGTAAACGTGTGAAAATAACTGCTGATTTAACGTACCCAATTAATGCAAAGCAAAGTTCAATTACATTGAATATAAATGATGAATATATAACATTATCACAAATAGATTTCTGTAGATTAAAACAATTACAACACTGCATTGACCTGTATATAGCAGAAAAACAGAAACGACTACAGAGTTTTCAGGCAACATTTGATACTGCCTACGAACTGATAAAAAATGATGTACGTGGGGTCTGCCAATCAGCAGCCAGAGGAACGAATTCACAAACCAGTATATTCAAAACTATGATTTCAATTATTATTCCCATTTACAAAACGATGACACATTATTTTTTTATGAAATATTGCAATACAATTTCAATACAATGTCAGAGCTTATATAACAGGATTTATTAATATGAATACAAATGTATATATATATATAGTTCATTGATTAAATAAAGTTTATTTTTTTATACATATAACAATCAAACTGCTTTTTTGCTTTTTATTTTTCGGCGATCTGGATCCTGCAGCATTGTATCGAATACGGCCTGCATAGTCTGATTCATACTACTATTCAATGACTGGTCTTTTGATTTATCGCTCGTGAAGATCTTCACTGATGCTTCCGAATGACGCCATCTATAAACATACAATAGTAAAAATAGAATCATACTGTTAAACAGATACAAAAGGTGTTTCCAGTATTCACCTATCCTTAAGTGCAACATTCACAATATTCGAACTTTTATAATGAGTCAAGACCCAGTAATCGGTCGGCTTGCCCTCAAAAGTAGTTTTAGTAGTGATAAGTTCATCACCTTGACAGAAAGTTAGTGAATTTGTCACTTATCCTCATCTAATCTAAAAAGATCACCCACGTTATCTCTGTATGATGATGATGTAGCCCAGGGGTCGGCAACCCGCGGCCCGCGTAGCAATTTTATGCGGCCTGCGATAATAATTTATAGTTAGTTTAAAAATATTATACAACACGTTAACTTTGCTGATAAAAATTGGGATTTCTCACGAGAAGTTAGTTATACAATTATTGAACAAAAATAGATATTATGTATAGAAACATCGTACACGTTATCTACGTTTCGTTAAACGTCGATAATAATTTATTATACAAAACGAAATACGACTTAGTATTACTGAATTGATTTTCTAGTGAAGTGTAATCGTCTCAATTCTGTGTTCCAAATTTTTGTACGTGTAACTCTATGGCTCCTAAACGAAAAATTAACGATGAGCATCGTATTTTTAAAGAAGATTGGACCAAACTTTTTTTTTTTATCGAACACGGTGGTAAGTTATTATGTTTAATTTGTAATAAAACCATAACAGTAATGAAAGAATACAACGTCAGGCGACATAACGACAATAAGCATAAAGCAAAATTTGAAAACTTAACTGGTGAATTAAGACAAAACAAAATAAAACATTTTTTAACATCTCTTAGTAGCCAGCAAAATATTTTCAAATCCCAAAATACACGTAACGAAGCGTCTGTACGAGCAAGTTATGTAGTTGCTGAAATGTTGGCAAAAAACAATCGCCCTTTTACTGACATTGAGTTTTTTGAAAAGTGCATGTTAGCTGTAACGAATGAAGTATGTCCAGAAAAAATAAAACTATTTGAAGAAATTAGTCTTTCGACTCGAACGTGTGTGAGGCGAACTGAGGAATTGGGAAATAATTTATTTTCCCAATTAAAAGATATCATACCGTCATTAGACTGTTTTTCGATAGCTATTGATGAGAGCACAGATATTTCTGACACAGCTCAACTTTTAATATTTATACGTGGTATAGACAAGGAGTTTAATATTTATGAAGAGTTAGCAGATATGTGTAGTATAAAAGGCACTACAACAGGTGAAGATATATTTAAAAATATAGAAAATTCATTCGAAAAATTAGGGCTTTCGTTGAAAAAATTAATAAGTATTACTACTGACGGAGGAAAAAATATGAGTGACATACATAAAGGTTTTTTTGGGAGAATTAAGACTAAAATGATTGACAATAAATTTGAACTGCTCATGGTTTTTCATTGTATTATACACCAAGAGACACTATGTTGCAAAGTCTTGGCTTGGAAAAATGTCATGGATACAGTTATATCAACCATAAACTATATGCGAAAAAATGGGTTGGCTCATCGACAATTCCAACAGTTTTTGGAAGAAATTGAAGCTGAATATGGTGATGTTATTTATTTTACGGAAGTTCGTTGGTTAAGTAGGGGTGCAGCTTTAAAACGTTTTTTTACTCTTAGAGAGGAAATAAATATATTTATGAATGAAAAAGACAAAAATGTTCCCCAATTATCGGATAAAAAATGGATACTCGACCTTGCCTTTTTAACTGACATGACCACATTTTTAAATGAATTAAATGTAAAATTACAAGGGAAAGAAAAACTATTACCGGATATGTACTCTGATATAAAATCATTTACGGTGAAATTAAAACTGTTTTACAAGCATATTGATGAAAAAAAATTAGATCATTTTGTTTGTTGTAAAAAAGCCATGGAACATTTCAACAATGTAACTGGGAAGAAGTTAAAGTAAAATTTATGAGTATCATTGAAAAATTACAAAATGAATTTGCAACCAGATTTTCTGATTTTTATTCAATTGACTTCAAAATTAAATTATTTCAGAACCCGTTTGTAGTTGATATTGATGACGTTGAAAGCTGTTTACAAATGGAAATTATTGAGTTGCAAAGTGACGAATGTCTTAAAACCGCTTTTCGTGATTGTAATAATTTAATTCAGTTTTATCCGAGTCTTTGTGAAACAAAATTTAGCAAAATAAAATATTTTGCTAAAAAAATGTTGACCATATTTGGGAGCACTTATATTTGTGAACAAACTTTTTCCCTAATGAAATATCGGAAAAGCAAATATGCTTCGCGATTAACCGATGGTCACTTAAACGCTGTATTGAGAATTTCTACACCGAAAATAAAACCGGCTATCAATACACTTGTTGATGCTATTCAAACTCAAAAATCACATTAATTTTTATTTATTTATTTTTTCCAATATTATACTATATTTTACTATGTATTTTTTTATTATTATTATTACGTGTAATTATTATTATAACTTTGTTTGTAGATACCTCCAAAATTAATATACCAATCAGTGATGTACTTAAATAAATTAAATTTTAAATTACTACAATATTTCGTTTAAATAAAATAAGGTGTATTCAAATTATGGCCCGTGAAAAAATTTATTTTTATTTTTTGGCCCTTGACACCAAAAAGGTTGCCGACCCCTAATGTAGCCTATAAAAAAAAATAATAAAAAAGAATAAATAAATAATTTATGCTATCATCATACAAATGTTTTATCTCACCATTTTCGTCTGCTTTTTTTTAGGTTTCTTTTCTGTATTCTTTTCGGCACCACGTTTTAAACTCTGTGTTGATGCAGATGGTTTCATTTTTACATCTGCCGGTTCTTCAAAATGTTCATTCTATGAAACATAAACATAATACATAGTTTAATTTTTTTTTTTAACTAAAATGAAAAGCAGGTTTTAAACCGATTTCAAAAATATTTAGTTAAACATTAAATATTATATGTGTGATGTTACAATCAACCATAAATTATAACCATAGCGTTGAGTAGTTTTACGACTGACCTCCAATTTGCTTTTGGTTATTAAAAGTTATTTTTAAAAAAAGTACTAACCTCTGATTCAGAAGACGCGATTTAAGTTCTGTAGGACATCTTGAGCTGTGTTGAAGACTGTACTGCACTGTGTTGAAATTACTGGAGACTGATACATTTTGACGATATTCTGCTGGCTTTTATACACAGATATTTTCCACTACTCTAAACTCGACTATATGCGGGGGCTTATGTTAACGACGTGTAAAAAAACCTTTCTATATTTTTCACATTCAACTCAGAACCGGTATTAAAATTATAAAAAGATATACATTATCCTAATGTATATC